TGTCTGAATTAGTTCAGGATTGGGGGTCACTGGGCCTTAGGTCTTTCTTTTTCCCTCTGCAGTGTAAATACAAGGAGAACGGCATCAAGAGCCTCTCTCAGAGTCTCTACTCGCATCTACCAGAAACAGCCGAGACTCAGTTAGCACGAACTGTGTCTGAGCTGCAGAGTGAGGTGAGGAAAACGAGAGCATTTCATTTTTAGTTAACAGGATCATAGAGTTGTTGTGTCTGTTCTTGACTGTTAAACTAAAAGTGAGTTAGTCATAAATCCATCCAAGTGTTTTATTATTACCTGCACAATAAACACAGAGGATGTAACTTTCTAAGAATCAGTGACTCAGTAGTTATTATCTTTACACCTGCAGATGCTGGTTCAAAAGTAAATCACAGTCCAAAAAGTGTCCATGTTTACGGTCTGTGAGCCGCCAATGAGACTGATGGCAACAATGTGGCTTTTTAATGTTCGGTTATGTTGTTTTGAACCTGCAAGCAAATATTCTGACTGATGTTTTCTTTAGGCCAAGTACAAGGAGGCGAGCAAAAAGGAGGCGACCAGCTGTCTGTACCATCAGCTGCCTGAAACACTGGAGACTCAGCATGCTAAAGAGGCTACTGAGCTACAAAGTCAGGTTCGAGATGTGACTGTCAGAAAAAAATTCAAGAGATTTACGGCTCTTTATTGACTTTGTGCAAGCATCATTAAATCATAGCAATCTCCCTCACATGGCACATGATAAATACCTGACATACATAAGAATACAACAGGCTGACACGTATTATAAAGTACATATTTTCCATACCAATATCAGTGCTGTTATTCTCATTTATCTGTGAATTTTATCCACCTTTCCAGGCACCCCAGGCTTGATGTTTTTATATTTTTAAAAACTGCAGTTTCTGCCAAATAATAATCCATCTGTTTTGAGAGGACTGGAGTGAGGAGCCAAATACAGACACCAAAGCAGATGGAAGTAACAGAAGTCAAGCTTTTATTTCAGTTTATAGAAAAAAGTTCCAAAATTATCAAAGTCCAGAAGGTGAAGTAACACAGATATCCAAGAAGTAAACACGAAGAAACATGGAGCGAATAACAGCAACAAACAGGGCTGCACATAAAGACGCCTCAACAGGAAGGAAACCTTTGTACTGTAGATAGTCTGGTACACGGCTGCCGACACGCTTCTTTGAGGGGTGGCTGTAGCTCAGGAGGTAGAGGAGGGCATCTACTGATCAGAAGGTCGGTCGTTTGATCCTTGGCTCCCTGTAGTCTGCATGTCAAACATCCTCGGGCAACATATTAACCCCAAGTTGCTCTCGATGCATCCATCGGAGTGTGAATGTGTGTGAATGTAGTTAGTAAGCACTGAAAAGCAAAGAAGAAAGTGCTTGTGTGATTGGATGAATGTGCACTTTGAGTACTCGGGAGTGTAGAAAAGCACTATATAAGAATCAGAGCGTTTACTGCTTACACAAAGAGACGCAGGAAGAACGCAGGTTAAAACAATCAATGACACGTGAGGCAAGTTCGTTACAACAGCAGGAAAACAGAGTTATTAAAGAAAGAAAACAACAGAAAACTTAGTTTGAAAAACAAAAAGACTGGAATAAAATCCACAGGAGGCAACAAACATTTCCACAGAAAAAAGGAGGAAAAGACTGAAGTAAGAAAGTCAATACGTACATTTTTCTACACGTTCATGTACACGCACAAATTTGGCATCACTGTACACCAAAAACGTTAATGCAGTCAGATCAGTGTTGTTCCCGTCACCATTCTGTTTCTTATATGAAAATAATTATTGTGTTTTTTTGCAGTAGTTCAGACGTTTAAACTGACATTTAAAGGATAAAGTCCTGAAAATGATTTCATGTTTAAACGTTTTGAAAAGGCCTCAAGTTGGAGAAATGATTTCTGAAAAAAAGAAATAAAATTAAAAAATAATGTTGTTGTGTCAGTATTTTATGGCAGATTTTGTTTGTGTACTTTTTTGTACACAAGGGTGTCAAAAGGGTGCAAATAACAAGGCAACAAGGCCACTGTGTGGTCCCACACACACACAACACACACACACACACACACACACACACACAAACACACACACACACACACACACAAAAAAAAAAAAAAAAAAAAAAAAAAAAAAAAATGCAAATAAATGTGTCAATTATTATTTCAAATCAGAATTAATTCATTAAATATTAAATAATGACTTAAATGTAGAATAATCTTGTTTAAAACATTTAATACAGTATTTATCTGTTTACAATTGTATTTAATTAATTTCACTTTTAATTGATGATTTAGTGTTTGAAGTTTTGGTATCGGGTTTAAATTGTCAGGTGTTTGTTTGTTTGTTTGTTTGTTTGTTTGTTTGTTTGTTTGTTTGTTTGTTTGTTTGTTTGTTTGTTAACAAGTTCGGGGTCCATTTTTGATTTCGTTTTTGTTCGGCTGAGTTTGAGTACTTTCTGTCCGTGTCTACCATTTTTTCTGCATCAATTTTTTTTTTTATTGAGCTTGACTTTGATCGTTCTCCCGCTCATATAAAACGTCTGTAGATAGAACAAATTCTGACTTTTTTGTGTAGATTTTTTTCTGTTACGGTGTATGATTAACCGAGTGTGTCTCTGCTCTCCAGGTGAAATACAAGGACGGTAAGAAGGAGCTGAGCACCAACCTGTACTCACTGCTGCCTGAGACAGAGGAGATCAAGTTTGCTAAAGCAGTGACGGAGCTTCAGAGTGAGGTGGGCCGACGTCCGCAACGTGTAACAACATGTTGGTCCAATAGTTTCACTGCAGCTTGTTCTGTGTCATAAAATTGCTAAAAAAAAAAATCCCAATGATTCATCGTGTTGATGTTGTTACAACATCCTAATTTACTGTTCTCATTTTTCTCTGGACACTTTTTCATCATCTGACTCTGCATGTTTGTGTGCTGCAGAATAAATACAAGCAGAAAGGCAGACAGGAGATCAGCAGCAGTGTTTTCCATCAGATGCCGGAGACCAAAGAGATGGAGTTTGTTAAGCACATCTCAGAATTTCAGAGCGAGGTGAGCTGCAGCATGCACCAGATTTACTCATTTACACCTATTTAGGTCAAATTTGACAAAATATGCTCCAAAACTGTGGAGTGTTTAGAAACTAACAGCCCTGTATGTTTATGTCAAGTACTGTTCTGTTCATGGTATGTAAATTTACTGCTTCTCTCAGAAATATAGCAAATATATCTCTCAATGTGTTTTTTCCTCTGTGCGTCTGGCTCTTCTAGTCAAAATACAAGAAGGACAAAGAGGATCTGCCCAACACTTTGTACTCGCTGCTGCCTGAAACTCTGGAGACTCAGTTTGTTAAAGAGATGGCTGAGACACACAGCGAGGTGGGAGCTGTGTGTGTTCACAGTTTGATTGCACATTGAAAATTAAGCATGTATAAAAATAAATCAAATACAACTCTGTGAATGTGGGGAATAAAAAAGCTTTCTGTGTTTGCTGTTTTTGCTGGTAACATTTTACTAACGTCTGGCTTCGTGAACTTACTGTAAATAGCCTAAAAATCATAAATATGGAGGTCTTTAATTTGGATTTAGGCTGATTTTCTTTCTGTCAGCTTTTTCAGTTTTAGAATTGAGTGTCATCTGCAAACAGCTGTATATTCTGTGCTCCCCGTGCTCCAGGCCTGCATGCTGCATACTTCTGTTATAAAGATGTCAGTGCAAGCTCCAAATCTATTCAAACACAGACAGAATCAGATGCAGTGTGAGGTGCAGGCGTGTGCTCAGTGTCACTGAGCAGTTATTAATCTCCTGTCTTGTTTTCATCACCCAGAATAAATACAAAGAGGCGGGTAAGAAGGAGATGGTGAAGTGTCTGTACTCTCTGCTGCCCGAGACCAAAGAAACTCAGCATGCCAAGGAGCAGAGCCAGCTGCACAGCGAGGTACATTTAAACATGCAGCCACTGCTCTCTGAACCTTCATGAGCATGTTGTGAGTCAGCAGCAGGTTCGCTTTACAGGCGGGATTGTTCCCGTTTGCTGTTTTTGAACAAGGCAGGGCCAAATATCACGACGCACTTCCTTTGAAGTACTGGTGTCTTGATACAGAAGTGCTGATGTTGTATTTATAACACACATTTAATCGTTTTGTGAATGTTTGTGCAGCTCTGGTTGGAGACTGTCTCTACCTTTCAGATTCTTATTACAAATGCAGAACAAGTTAACAGTGAGATTTACCTGCTTTTCAGATTTTCTGTGCATTACAGTATCATTGGCATGAAGGTTTTTTGCTATGATAACAGTGTTGTTTCTTATAAAAAGGATGTTTGTGTAGTAACAGAAAAAATCTATTTAAAGTTTTATGGTTGATCATTGAGTTTTCAGGCAGGATTTGCTTTATTTTTGCCTCATGGGATCACGGGGGAGCAGCACATGGGAACAACTGCTGTTCAGCAAACCAACAGGGCATTTCCATTTGTTTACCTGTGCACATGTGCTGCTGCACTTTATGTTGTTTTTTAATCAGTCTGTAGCTCGGTGCAGTGTTTCCAGTTTAGAGATGAAAATCATTAAAATCAGCTTAACTGTGTAAGTCAGGCAGGCGTCATTACATTCTGGTAGACCTCAGCACACACAACTGTTGTGATCATATTTTTTGAGCAGATTTATGATGCATCAGCCTCATAATAATAAATATTTCATTATGAAATCTCTAATTATGCAGAACTTTAAAATAAATGCTGGTGAGACAGTAAAGCAAAATGCTTTTTTAAAAGACGTCCTGATGTGGTCGGCGTCTGTTGATGTGGTTCACGTGTTTGTGTCGCAGAAAGCTTACAGGGAGGAGAGCAAGAAAGAAGCCGGCTGTAGTCTCTATGCCCAGATGCCCCAAACCATCGAGACCGTGTTTGCCAAAGAGCTGAGCAAGACACAGAGCGATGTGAGTGTGACGCCGCCTTCACAGCATCAAGTCAGAGACACCAAATCGATATTCGCGCTCAGTTTAATGAGCAAACGGAGCAAACTTGAGATATAAAAGCTGAGCTTTTGAAAGAGCAACAACAGAAAAATATTGAACTTCTCTGCATGTTTTTAAGCAGCAAAGCGATGAAACGTGAACATGTTTAGACAGATGTCACACCTCTGGAATTATAATCCACTCGGAGTTCACATTTCTAACTAAAGAGCAGATGGGAGGCATTTAAACAGCAACATCCCGCGGTCCTGTGTTACACACACACACAAATACACACACAGACACACACACAGACACGCTCAGGGGAAGTGTTTTGTGAGTTGGTATCATTTTGTCTGTAGAAGCGTGAAAACAGGGAGCAGCTGTGTGGTGCTCCAGAGCCTGAGGACACAGACACTGACCTACTGTCCACCACACACACACACACACACACACACACACACACACACACACACACACACACACACACACACAGTAGTGGCAGATTGAAGCTGATAAACTGGGACAGACACACACTTCTCACAGACTCACTGCTGGAAACTGACACCTGTGACAGATTTTACAAACTGTCCACGAGCTGGACGCTGCTGATGTTCATGAGCATGTGATGGTGAATCTGGAGAGAGAAAGGATGACTGTGTTTCACACCTTTCAACAGTTCCCAGAAGAGTGCTTTGGATGAGAGATGAAGGTGTTAGGACAAGATGGATAAGATGCTCGAGGAAGTATAAAAAGATAGTCAGGATTAAAAACAGAAGGAGGCAGCTGAGTGGTTAAAGGCCCGTCCATGTCCCAGCTGAGGTGTGTCAGGCTTGTCCTGGTGGGTGGAGGCCTCAGGGCAGATTCCGGACACTGGAAAGGTTGTGTCTCTGTAAGCTTGGGAACACCTCCCAGGACAAAAGGGCATCTGTGCTTAGACTCCTGCCCCATCACCAGTGTAGGTGGAGTTAAAGACTCAAAGTGTCACGGTCTGGCTGGCAGACCGTGGAGATGTGGGGAAAGGAGGACCCAAAACGCAGACTCTGCGATGCAAACAGTGCTCTTTATTTACAGTGAAAAGGCTGTAAATACAATAACTCCCCGTTGCTCCCTTGAACCCCGTGTGCGTGCTTCCCTCCGATATCTGTGCTCGTGCTCCCCGCTGTTGTGTTTCCGCACCCCTGTGCGTGCTGCCTCTCCGGACCACTCCTCCGCCTGTAGGGAAACCAGAGACGCAGCCGTCAACACTAACCCTCGGCGGGCATATACGCACAGCACAGACCTACGCTAACACACACTGACTTGGTAAGATAACTCAATGATCCCGCGTCGGTGGGAGCTCCAAGACTCTCCTAAGTAGCTCCCCCGACG